GTTGTAGGCAGATAATACGTCCATTTTACATCATGATTTGCTACTATTATTTATAGTGGTTTTGTGCATTATACCACTTTATGGAGTAATTCTAATGCATTTTCTCTCATAATATGCAAGGTTTACACAAAGAGGAAGAATGCCGACAGATGGAATTCTAGACCTGAAAAAGGTACGTCAGAGATACCTAATCTGCACATCTCCAAATGGGCTGAAACTTCACAGAGAATATTTTTGGAATAAATAAAAAATACTGGAAGAAAGAAGTACCAGAGGGGTCTGCCAGGTGCCCACTAGGCATCAAGGCGCGCCAGCCCCCCTGGCACACCCTAGTGGGTAGTGGGCAGCCCAACCCACTTCTGGCGACCATCTTCTGGTATATAAGTGGTTTTGACCTAGAAAAAAAATAAAAAGAGGACTTTCGGGACGAAGCGCCGCTGTCTCGAGACAGAACTTGGGCAGGAGCACTTTTGCCCTCCGGCGGAGCGATTCCGCATGGGGAACTTCCCTCCCGGAGGGGGAAATTGAGGCCATCGTCATCACCAACAACCTTCTCATCTTGGGGAGGCCAATCAACATCTTCAACAGCACAATCTCCTCTCAAAACCCTAGTTCATCTCTTGTGCTCAATCTTGTACTGGAACCTCAGATTGGTACCTGGGGGGTGACTAGCACATCTTGTAGTTGATGCTTTATGGTTTATTTGGTGGAAGATCATATGTTCAGATCCAATATGCTATTTAATACCCCACTGATCATGAGCATGTTCATCACTTGTGAGTTGTTACTTTTGTTCTTGAGGCCTCGGGAGAAGTCATGTTGCAAATACCCTCGGTAACCACTGCTCTACTTATTTATTTTCCTTCTATTAGTGTTTTTTTGGCACTCTCTTTTTGTCTATGATATTTCATATGTTTTTATGACTAAAGTTTGAAAATACCATGACTTTTAATGACTTTTTAATAAAGGAATTTTGTGACTTAAATATGTTTTGGGCTAGATTTGTTTAAATCTCAACTTTAAACATTGTAAAGTGAAAAACATGAGAACGGTGACCTGTCGTAACACGAAGAAGCATTTATTGACCGTGGCCTACCCCCTCTCGGTGCCGGTCAATGCCCTAACTGCTGGGGCCACCGGATGCGTGCTCGATCTAGAAACCCAAGGGGACAGCCCTACATGCATGTGGCCCATGCATATGCATGCAGGGGTGGTGTGCTGCTTGAATAAGCAACACACATCCTTCACGTTGCATGTGCGCGTGACAAACCACATAGCCGGGTAGGAACATCCCGGACCGGCTGCGTTCGTTCGCGAGACCGAGCCGACGGTGGGCGATCCTATGACAGAACAGGCTTAGACTTGGTCTGTCATTTCACGATTACCTGTCGTAACACGAAGAAGCATGTATTCACCGTGGCCTACCCCCTCCCGGTGTCGGTCAACGCCACAGACCGCTAGGGCCACCAGATGGGTGCTCGATCTAGAAACCGCCCGAGGAGGGGACCACCCCTACATGCGTGTGGCCCATGCATATGCATGCAGGGGTGGTGTGCTGCTTGAATAAGAAACGCACGTCCTTCACGTGACACGTGCATGACAAACCACACACGCGGGCATGAACGTCCAAGACCGACTGCGTTCGCCTGCGAGACCGAGCCGACGGTGGGCGATCCTGTGATAGAACGGTCTTAGACTTGGTCGGTCATCTCATGATGATCTGCCATAATACGAAGAAGCATGTATTAATCGTGGCCTACCCCCTCTTGCTGCCGGTCAACGCCCTAGACTGCCGGGGCCACCGGATGGGTGCTCGATCTGGAAACCACCCGAGGGGGAGATACCCCTACATGTGTGTGGCCCATTACTCCCTCCGTTCCTTTATGTAAGGTTTATTATTATTTTTCCACAGTGACCAAGGCACAAAATTATAGCGTATTTAGGACGAATTTATCCTTGGCTAATTTGTTCGTTAGTGGCAAGTAAATCAATTAGGCCAGAAAAGAAAGAGATACTTGCAATAGGGAGAACGATTCTTATCGAGCACGGCTACAAACGGAGAAGACCGCTAGACCTAGGGTTACAACCTGTACCGAGAAGGCTCTCGGTACAGGCAGCTACTACGGAAAACGGTTATCGACCCACAGTACTGAGTAAGCCACATCCTTTTTTTCCTTTTATTTGTGTATGTTTCTTTGTCACTCTTATTTTGTGTCTGATATTTCATGTATTTTAATGACACAAGTTTCAAAATGCCATGACTTGTGATGACTTGTGTTTTGGGTTAGATTTTTTCAAATCTCAACTTCTAAGCACTATAAAGTTAAAGAATGAAAACAGAGACATGTCGTAACACGGAGAAGCAGGTATTCATCAACCCCTGCCCCCTCTCGGTGCGTGTCAATGCCGTAGACCGTCCAGGCCTCTGTGTGTAAGGGCGCATGGCCGGAAAACCCATCTCGGTAATGTCTAACTAAAATGGTAAGGTGCTTTGTGAAGCATGTAGGAAAATAAAAGGGATGTAAACAACAACAAAAAGAATAACACATATTTACCGAGCACGACTACGAATGAAGAGGATGTGCAGATCTAGGGTTAGGACCTACCGAGAGCCGTTTATCAACTCTCGGTAAAGATGTCTTTACCGAGATCCGTGCTCAGCAATGCTCATGACCAGTGGGACCCGGTGTCCCACATGGCAGCTGACATTTTACCGAGCGTCACCACCCTCGGAAAAGAGCGGCAACACTGTAGTAGTAAAGTGCTCAACGACTCCTTTTCCGAGAGCCACGCTCGAAAAAGGGGTGGCACAACAGCAGTGACAGTTCTCAGGCGACCCCTTTTCCGAGAGCTACTCTCGGTAGGCTGCCTTTTTCCGAGTGGTGCTCTCGAAAATGTTTCCCATTCCTTTTGTTGTTAAACTCTTTCTTTTCTGATCCCTGCAAATGAAAACAACTACAGTGCAAATTGTAGTAGTCCACATATATAGGCATAATTTCATCATATATAGGCAAAACTTGAAGTATTCCACATATATAGGCATAAATCTGAAGCACATATATAAAAAATGTTGTCATATATAGACAAATGAAGTAGTCCACATATATTGGCATAATTTGAAGTAGTACACATATATAAACAAATGTTTCATACTAGTACACATCACACAAGTTCGTAAATTCATACATATTGTTAACTTATGGAAATTCACTACTTGTAAAACACGTGCACGTCACATAGAAGTCCACATGTTCGGGTTTAGATTCCGGGAGGAGGAGGAGGGTCATCACTTCCACTGCTTCGAGATTGTATCAGAACCTATAAGAGTTTGGCGGCCATCTGCCCAGCTGCCTAGTAAGAATGGGCCAAAAAGCACCAGAAGGCATGGTGCGATGGTCAACCAGTGGAGACGCGGGACCATTACTGCATATAAACTAGCTGAACAAGCCACGTAAGCAAACCACATGAGCTTCTTAGTAAATGATATGTCCTGGATCGTGCATATCAAGGCGACAGCAAACGAGGAGCACGCCGCTAAGGCGTCTGAGATCAGGAATGCCTGATATGCAATCTTCCTAGACATCATGGCAAGTCCCTCGCTTCCAGCATCACCTTTGTATCTTACAGGCAGAATGAAAGCAGTGGGCAAGGTGACTTTGCTACCCCGCTTGATTCATTAATTGCTCCTTGCTTGACATCACCATGAATATTTTGAAGACACATGGTATTTTGGGGACGGCCTTTCAACTTAAGCATCCATACGTTATTCTGCATTAACTCAAAAAAGGAACAAACAGAGTTCTTAGTATTAATAGTAGTAGTAGTAGTAGTAATAATAATAATAATAATAATAATAATAATAATAATAATAATAATAATAATAATAATAATAAGAAGAAGAAGAAGAAGAAGAAGAAGATGATGATGATGAATTTATGACAATGCCACTAGTTTCGTCTCCAACTATGACCATGCCACTAGTTTTGGTTACTTAAGACAATGCCACTAAAATGTTAGTTCCGCTTATGTTTTTGCCACCACCAGATATTACCATGAGTCGTGAGATAAACATAGTGTAAGGAGATATGGCTTCAAGGTGTATAGACTAGTTGACCCATCTTCTATCCCAAGGTCCGACCCCTCAGCTCGTTCTCTTCCCCAACATCCCTTCCTAAAATGCCTAGCACGTGCACGTGCTGAGGAGATGGTCAGCAGCACCAGGGCGGGGCAGTGCCAAGTTAGAGTTGGCAGCACCAGGACAGGGCAGCGCCGGGCCTGGGACAGGCTCTCCAGCCTCTTCTTCGCCAGATGAACAACAAAGCAGCGCTGCACTTTCTCTCTGACTCCTCTCCGACCGGGATATGAGGCTTGGTCACATTCTCTGTCTATGAATCCTCACTTTATGCTGTAATTTTGTGCAAATCCTCTTACAATTAGTGCAAATTCTATGATTCATGTGTTGCTTGTACAATGGCCACTGAATGGTCTTTTGTTCTAGATATTAATATTAGACATGGTTATTATTCTGCTAAACATGTGCATGTTGGACGGCCTGAAGTATGGATTGTATTTTGCAACTCTTGCTAATTGCCGAGAAAGGATGTATAAGAATTGATTTTATTTAGCTCGTGTTAGCAAAATTTGATAGATCGTCGAGTGAATTTGCATTATGGGGGCCCCTATCTTTATATGTATTTTGGCTGGGATTATTTGTGGCAGATGAATGAATCAGATGAATTATGACCAAAATAAAGGTCGTATTCCTTTGTGTCTATGCTTGTAGCCAGTAGCCATATCAAAAAATTATTTACAAGATAGCACATAGCAATGGTTTCTTGTTTCAACCAGTGCACACAGCAGTTACAGCAGCAGAACATCAGGTTGGTGCTAAATAATGACATGCACAAGCCAATTCTTCTCCACTACAGCTTCAAGGGTACTTACAACTTCTAACCTCTTTTAGTCCAGTAATACTAGTTTGACCTCCAGGTAACACTTGGAAATGGCAAAATCATAAACAGGACTAGTGTTTCAATGTCATTTTTTTCTTCATAAATAGCCAAAAGGTACATAGACCCGTACACCCATAGAGCTATTTCTATCCTAAATAATTTGGCAACCACAGATCTAAAGGGGCAAGGGAAGATCTAAGAAAAAACTGCTTTTGTAATGAGAATTTGTAATTGTGTCAGCTGAGACCAATGCTTACATGACCGATGCTCACAGCCCAACTAGCAAACCTAAGTCACAAACATGGTATAACAGAGGGGGGGTGTTCCTCCTTGGCGCATATTTGAGTTTTACCATGGTGACACATATTTAACCGGAGTGTAAACTCAGATGTGCATGTTAAAGGGAAATTATGCATTCCTGTGGTGCCTCTAATTAGTATACTCCTACCATTTGTACATGCGGGCATGTGGCTGTGTGTTTAGTGGCATAAGTGCAATCTGCATGGGTTGATTGTGTGCCCACCTTCTTTCCTAAAAAAAATGAATCCACCTTGTACTCCTAAATACCATACAAATCAGTAAATTTAGAAGAGATTTTTTTTAATGTAAAGTGTCCCATGTATGTAGTTCAACAGATGGTTCTGTATATTTGAGTAACTGCTACCTGCTAAACGAAAACAAAAATCAAACCATGGGATTAAATCTTTTAAAAAGGGGTGCCTAGCAACTGTTTATCTAAGCTAAATACCAGACCACATATTTTTGTGCTGCATCAGCTAAAAACAGTTTATATACTATGATGAATCATGGATGATCATGTGATCAGTTAATTGCGTTGCATAAATATTAAACAGAGAGCAGGTTACAGTAAAATAATTATTTTGCTGCTGTATTAGAAACATACATACCCAGTTTATGCTTTTGGCGCAATACGTATTGATCCACAGTTCCCAAGCTGTTGGTTTAGCACTGTTGTCAAGTACTGCTCTGTCTATATCCTCATGAGACAGTAAGGCAGCAATTATTTTAGGATAGCACCCCTGGACTGCGTAATGTAACGCAGTTTTTCTGTTGCTGTCTTGCATGTTAACAAGCTTTCGAAGATATGGTGTGCTCAGGATAAATTTAACGAACTCGATATGATTGTTCAATACAGCTATATGAAGGCATGTCCGAGTCTCACCACCTATTTCACGATAAGGAGCATCAGGGCAATGTCTGAGAATTTCTTGAGCAACATTAACCTGACCTCCAGCTGCGGCACAATTAAGCAGAGGAAAGATGTTCTTGTGCATTTCATACCCTAAGGAAAAATCATGTCGCAGCAATTCTCGCACCACGCGCATCTTGCCATAACGTACCGCCATTCTTATTGGAGTAACCAAATCCGTGTTACCTTCTCTGGCAAGTTCAGGGCGTGTCTCCATAATTTGTCTAGCAATAACTGAAAACAGATTAAGACGAATGATTGTTAGTAAACAACCAAGGGATCATGAAGGAGAGATCACTTATCCTTTTTATCTTTTTTTTTCAGAAGAGGAATGATACAGTCAGTCATATAAGAACAATATTCCAAAGTGTGTTTGCTGTAAAAATGCTACTCTATACTATTGTGTAATCTGAACTCCATATACATATAAAGATCTCACCTGGATTATCATTTCTGACAGCACCATGTAGAGCATTCAAGCCAAACTCTCCTCCATGAGCAGAATCAGTAATTCTGACTAGTTTCTCGACCACATCACAAAAATCTCTCATGACAGCGAGAAACAAGGGTGACTCTTTAAATTTGTTCACATCTCGTGACAGAGCAGGCTCTGCTGCTATCAACTCGAGGGCAAGTTCCTTATGGCCACTGTGAATGGCATGGTGCAGTGCATTACAACCAGTCTTGTCTTGCTGCAAGATTACCTGTCTCAATCCTAGTCGATGGCAGCGTCCAACTAAAAAAGAAGCCACGAAGGCATGACCATGTGTAACGGCGGTTACAAGCGGTGTCTCCCCTTGAAGATTCAACTTTGAGAGGAAAGACTCAAAGTTAGCATTTAAAAGGAGAGACTCCTCTATTTCCAGCACATCCTCGCAGAATTCCTTGTGACCATGCATAGAGGATATGTGGAGGCAGCTGTTTCCTTGTGGAGTGGTTCCAAGTATAATGCTTGGATTCCGTGATACTAATTCCTTGACTCGCCTGGGATCACCCGATGTGGCTGCCTCCAGGAGTCGTCTGTCAATCTGTGGCTGTGTGCCTGCTGATGAATAATCTGTTGCTGAAGTGTTGGTTGCCATCTATTTGTTGGGTTTACTGCCGATAAACAAAAAACAGTGGTTACTTACATACTACTCCCTCCGTTCTAAATTACTTGTCGAAGGAATTGATGTATCTAGACCTATTTTAATTCTAGATACAACCATTTTTGCGACAACTAATTCCGAACGGAGGGAGTACTTGACAGGCTTTGCTTTTGTTATGTGATGAAGGAAAGGATAATGTTTAATCTCAATGAAAAAAAAACAGCCCAGCCAAAGACGCAGCCCCCCCCCCCCCTCCCCCCTGCTGCTTCATCCGGCCGGCGGCGGCGCCAGATCTGGAAATCCCAGAGCCCGGGACGAAGCGAGCATGGGGGGCTTGGTTGAGCGGCGCAAAATTTCCAACTAATTGGGGAGGCTTCAGTTCCCTTCAATTAAACGGATCATACACACAAGTTACGCCGAATTAATCCAGAAAAAATAATCAGCAAACAAATCAAGCAGAAAAAAAAACGAAAAGAACGGATCTTGCTTGTCTCACCTCTTCCCGACCCTCCTCCGGCCAAGGAAGTGTTCGCCGCAGCTTCCTGACGCGTGCCTCGTCGGAGAAATTCGCGCCGCCTAGAGTCGCAGCTGGGCGTTGGTCATCTTGATGGTGGAATCTTCAACCCATCAGTAAACCTAGGCCTGACCCAGAAACCTTTTTCCCCTAACATACGCAGGGCAGTTTAGACTTTTCCGGTACAATGCCGCTTTTCTCCGTTCCGTTGGATTTGGCTCAGGCCGGTCACAATGGGTAAGAACATAACCTAGTAACTTACACATTTTTCTAGACTATGTTACTATCTTCATAGTGGGTAGGAATATTTATGTAGTGTCATGCAACGATGTATTTATTAGGTTATAGACTCATTGTTTCTTGAAGTGTGTGATGTTCCGGTAACTTAGCTAGTTACCACAAGCATCTCTCTCTTCATTAAATATGTACCACATAAGCAAAGTTGTATTGAAGTGTGTGATGTTACTCCTAAGTTCCTCCCCACTGTGACCAGCCTCAGGCCTACTTTGGGGTGTACGAATTTTACAGGAATCCGTAGGATAGGATTTGTATAGAAAACATTCCTTTAGAGCAATTCTAACGGGGCGACCCGCCCTTCTGTTTGGGTCCACGCTGACAAAAAGTTGGTCCAACGCGCCAACCAAAACGAACGAGCGTCCGTTTTTTGTCCGCCTGCCGACTCATTCCGGGCCCATTTTTTAGCCTGATTTGTGTCGGCGCAGACATGAAGCGGACGCGCGCCTACTCCCCTCGCTGGTCCGTCGGTCGGCGGCAAAGCGGCCACTTTTTCTCGCGGCCACAGCCAACACAAACTCGTCATCATATCCTTGGATGATGTGGCCGGAGTCGCCTTGCGCGTCTTGCACGCAGCCGATTCCTGGCTTCCACGTCTACCCGCAAGGCAGCCGCTTCTCCGGGGAATGCTCGTCGAAGATGAGCATTGTGGCCCTTTCCACGCCCGCGCCGGCGACCATCGACCTCAACGCCACGCCAGTGGCAGGCAGATCATCGTCCAAAGGCACGAGGAAACGCCCGCACGAGATGCCAGCCGACATGCTCACCGGCGCCCGCAATCTGTTCGACGGAATGCCGGCGGCCGTCGACGATGACACGGCCTACCGTTTCCTCGAGAACATGATCTTTGAAGGCGGTGTGCTGACGGGTGGTGGTTACTCCGTGGCTGCCTACAATCCCGATGAGACCCAAAGCCAGGACGGCCGAGTGCCATTCACGCAAGCCACCAATGATCCACATGGCATGCATGATGCCTTCATGCAAGATCAGGTCGGCCTAGACAGCTTCTCGCTCGACCATGAGTTCCCGGAGGACTACGGCCTCGAGGAGGAGGATGATGACTTGGACATCGACGGGGAGCCTTTGTTCGAGGAGGAGCTCGCCAACCAAACTGCTGCGGGGGCGAAGCCAAAGCGCAAGAGCAAGCGGACGAAGGCATACACGCCGGCCGAGGACAAGCTCCTTTGTGAGTGCTGGAGGGACATTGGGCAAGACCCGAAGGTCGGCCCCGAACAAAAGTATTCAACCTTATGGAGTCGTGTCCATCAAGAGTTCCATGAGCGCAAGAAGTTTCCTCCGTACCAAATGCAAAGCTAGCATGAATGGTGTCACTTTCGAAGTGTTGGAGGGTGATTCAACAAGAGTGCAACAAGTTTTGTGCCACCTATGAGAGCATCAAGGCATGCCCCGTGAGCGGCCTCGGCATGCAAGACATGGTATGCATGCCCTCTCATTCCCTTTTGGTGCCACGCATTTTCCCATTGATTGCATGTCCATTTGCCCACATATGCTTGCTTGGTTTGAATTGTAGGTGTTCCAAGCTTTGGAGGCGACGAAGCAAGCCAAGATGCTTGAGTTGGAGGAGGCGAAGCAAGCCAATATGCTCGAGATCGAGGCCGCCAATGCCAAAACCAAGGCGAAAGAAGTGGCCCTCGCAAGCATGAAGACGAGTGTGAAGATCATGAAGGTTGGTCTGAACACCATGTCGCCGAGGAAGAGGCTATGGTTCGAGAAGATGCAGGCCGAAATGCTCAAGTTTGACCAGCTGTGATCTGCGGCGGAGACAGTCGTTTTTTGTATGCCGGCAAGTGTGTTGGTGATACGTCTCCGTCGTATCTATAATTTTTGATTGTTCCATGCCAATATTCTACAACCTTTACATACTTTTGGCAACTTTTTATACTATTTTTGGGACTAACATATTGATCCAGTGCCCAGTGTCAGTTCCTATTTGTTGCATGTTTTTTGTTTCGCAGAAAATCCATATCAAACGGAGTCCAAACGGGATAAAAACTGACGGAGATTTTTTTTTGGAATATTTATGATTTTTGGAAAGAAGAATCAACGCGAGACGATGCCCGAGCGGCCACGAGGCAGGGGGGTGCGCCCCAGGGGGTCAGGCGCACCATGGGCCCTCGTGGCCACCCCGTAAGGCGGTTGGTGCCCTTCTTCTGCCGCAAAAAAGCTAATATCCGGATAGAGACCGTGTCCAAAATTCAGCCCAATCGGAGTTACGGATCTCCGGGAATATAAGAAACGGTGAAAGGCCAGAATCTGGAACGCAGAAACAGAGAGAGACAGAGAGACAGATCCAATCTCGGAGGGGCAAGCCCCTCCCACGCCATGGAGACCAAGGACCAGAGGGAGAACCCTTCTCCCACCTAGGGAGAAGGCCAAGGAAGAAGGATAAGGAGGGGGGCTCTCTCCCCCTCACTTCCGGTGGCGCCGGAACACCGCCGGGGCCATCATCGTCACCGCAATCTTCACCAACACCGCCGTCATCTTCACCAACATCTTCATCACCTTCCCCCATCTATCTACAACGGTCCATTCTCCCGCAACCCGCTGTACCCTCTACTTGAACATGGTGCTTTATGCTTCATATTATTATCCAATGATGTGTTGCCATCCTATGATGTCTGAGTAGATTTTCGTTGTCCTATCGGTAATTGGTGAATTGGTATGATTGGTTCAATTTGCTTGTGGTTATGTTGCTTTCCTTTGGTGCCCATCATATGAGCGCGCGCGTGGATCACACCATAGGGTTAGTTGTATGTTGATAGGACTATGTATTGGAGGGCAAGAGTGACAGAAGCTTCAACCTAGCATAGAAATTGATGCATATGGGGTTGAAGGGGGACCAATATATCTTAATGCTATGGTTGGGTTTTACCTTAATGAACGTTAGTAGTTGCGGATGCTTGCTAATAGTTCCAATCATAAGTGCATAGAATACCAAGTAAGGGATGACATGCTAGCAGTGGCCTCTCCCACATAAAACTTGCTATCGGTCTAGTAAGGTAGTCAATTGCTTAGGGACAATTTCACAACTCCTACCACCGCTTTTCCACACTCGCTATACTAAATTTATTGCTTCTTTACCTAAACAGCCCCTAGTTTTTATTTACGTGCTCTTTACATTCTTGCAAACCTATCCAACAACACCTACAAAGTACTTCTAGTTTCATACTTGTTTTAGGTAAAGCGAACGTCAAGCGTGCGTAGAGTTGTATCGGTGGTCGATAGAACTTGAGGGAATATTTGTTCTACCTTTAGCTCCTTGTTGGGTTTGATACTCTTACTTATCGAAAGAGGCTACAATTGAATCCCTGTACTTGTGGGTTATCAAGACCTTTTTCTAGCGCCGTTGCCGGGGAGTTATAGCGTGGGGTGAATATTCTCGTGTGTGCTTGTTTGCTTTATCACTAAGTGATTTTTATTTGTTGTTCTAAGTTGTTCTCTATCTTTAGTTATGGATATGGAACACGAAATACCAAAAAAATTAGGTGTACTACTTTAATAATCCTGAGAAACCCTCGATGCTGGTTATGTGAAAAATATTATGCACTACTTTAATGATCTTACCGAGCTTTCTGTTGAGTTTTGTGTGGATGAAGTGTTCGAAGATTGAGGAGGTCTCGATATGAGGAGAAGGAGGAGAGGCAAGAGCTCAAGCTTGGGGATGCCCAAGGCACCCCAAGTAAATATTCAAGGAGACTCAAGCGTCTAAGCTTGGGGATGCCCCGGAAGACATCCCATCTTTCTTCAACAAGTATCGGTATGTTTTCTCATGGAGATGGGGAACCTCCTAAAACCCTCGATGCTGGTTATGTGAAAAATATTATGCACTACTTTAATAATCCTGAGAAAACCCCATTCAATTATGTAATGGGAGACACGTTGGATCAACGTGAATACTTTAGGGATTTTCGCTTGACTCAAAAAGGGAAACTATTATGGGATCAAATTTATATGTTGCGTTGGTATGCTCGGGAACTATGCTTGAGATATGATTATACTTGTTGCTCTAGGATGAAGGCTCCACACCTTCCCTTTTCATGCAAATTTAATGATGATAAAACCTTGGTTTCTTATGCTAATGGTATATATGATTACTATGATGTGGAACAAATAGAAGAATTCGTTGCTTTTATGGGTGCTTATGAAATTGAATCTTTGTTTAAAG